TGGGTGGTGGGGGCTGGATAGGGGCATGGTGTGCGTGTGCCACAGGACTAGGGCAACAGATCATGCCTCACTGCCCACCTGCCTAATCCTCTCTCTGCCCCTTCCCCTCCCCCATATCACCATCATCATGTCACCACAGTTGCTGGGACCACAAGGAAGGCCAGGGGCAGTCAGACCACTCAAGGCCTACCCAGCTCACATGTGCCTATATCCCGCCCACCCCACGGCCTCTGAACACAATAGCTGCCTGCCAGCCCAGGTTTCCTCTTTATTGGTCACACATCCAGCCACCAGCTTCTTTGGCCCACCCCTGGTGGTTAGAGGCCAGCAGCCTGCCCCCAAAGGGTGGGTGGTGAGGAGAGGTGGCAGCTGCTGTGCATCACCCTGATGCCACTCACTGGATACTTCTTGTCCCCTGGCCCAGGGCTACTGGGCCTGGGAAGGGTTTCCTGCTTCAAGATGGGGGTCCTGGCTGTAGGGTGGGGGGCTCGACTGAGGCAGCCAAGACAGATCCTCCCCACACTCAGTGGCTGGACATGCCAGGATGGGGGCCAGACTCCAAGGGAGGGGACCTGGCCAGCCTCTACCCAGAAGCCCACTCAACCCCAGGAATCAATTGCATTTGGATGAGAAAATAGCTGAGTGAGTAGGAGGCAGAGTATGGGGCCAGGGCTGCAGACTCCCAGGTGCTGGCCAGGCACAGCCCTGCCCAAAGGCTCTGGGCACCACGGTGCATGCAGTGTGGGGGCAGTGCTGAGGAAGCAGGTCAGGAGGGACTGCGTGCGTGCAGGCAGGCAAGGAGGGTGCTGTGCTGGGCGGGCAGCAGTGCCTGTTGGGGTCCCGGCCACAACACCCCAGGAAGGCTGGGAAAGCCCTTGCTGGGTAAGGCACGGTGTTTTGTTTCCCAGGGGCCTAGTCCCAGCCTGGCCCCTGGCAGGGCCTCCCACAGCAGCACGTTGACAGCCCCTGTTGTGCCCAGGTTGGCCTGAGGGCTCCCTCACTTGGCTTTGGGCTTGGGCCTGAGGCCTATAGGGAGGAAGAGGAAAGGACAGTGTTAGGAGCAGCTTGTGGGGGGACAGCACCAGAGTGACCACTTCTGGGTCCCAGGCCCCTGCACCCCTCAACACCACTGTTCACTGGGCTGTGCCATGCCCCCCAGGTCCACTTCTACTTTCTCTGGAACAACAGAACTTATTCAGATGGAAGGTGCTGGGATGACCCTGGCAAGTCAGCTCCTGTCCAGGCTGGGTCTCGACATGACTATCTCCTCTCTGCTGAGATGGGGAGTCTGTGGCCTGCCCCCACACCCATGTAGGCTGCCTATACTCATGGCTCCCCACCACCACAGCTGTGCTTCCTTAAGCCTTCCCCACTACGCCCCTAGTGCCAGGACTCTGGCAGCCTGTCCTCCCTCCAGCTGGGTACTAAGGGCACCAGGACACTATCCCAACAGCCCCTACAACTTGGTTGGTCTCCACGATTGGCCCTGTAGGTCCCCTAACCCAAGCGCTCCTAGACTCTGGTCCAGGGGTCCTCGCTTGGCCACCCTGGTGCCAGGCGGTGTCCCCAGTTACCCGTGGGAAGGGAGCAGACTCATTTTTAAGAACCACTGCTTGAAATAGCCAAGAACGAGCCATCCAGGGTCCTTCAGAGGCTCTAGCACCACCCCCTACCACAGGCCCAGGAGGCTGGGCAGGGTGAGCTGGGACTGGGAGCTGTGCCTATAACAAGGAACATTCAGGGAACAGAGGGGCCACCTATCAGGGCACAGGAGCCTGTGATGGGCCCCACTAGATGCCACGCAAATGCATGACAGCGGCTTTCTCTACTCACACACAATTTAAGAAGAGAGGGGAAAGAGTGTGAGAGGGGCAACACAGTGCAGTACACTGGTCCTGGGGAGGCCCAGGCTGCTCGTGGTTGTAAGGCGCAAGCAAGCTGAAAAAGGTGCTTTGCAGAGGGCGGGTCTCCTGCAACCACCACCTCAACCATGGGGACAGACAGGCTGCCAGGTCCCTGCCGCCTGTCCCTCCATGCGCTCCTGCCCCCAAGCCCAATCTGGACCTGCTTGTCGGGGAGCAATCAGACAAAACCAAAATGTCACTGCCATACAAAACAAAAGGGGGCTGGAAAGTTCCAGAACTAAAAAGACTGAAGAGATGTCACAATCAAACACAGCCAGTGATTCTGGATAGGATCTCATTTTTAAAAAAACTAAAGCAATGACCCTGAAAGGTGTTACTAAGATAACTGCACACATCTGCCCAGGGTGTGGGGGCCGTGTGATGGAAAACAGTGTCGTGTGGACAGAGAACAGGCCCGCAGGTGTGCTCCCGGCTGGCGGCTCCGTGGGAGAACAGCCCTGTCCTCAGGAGGTGTTCATGGTTGAGTCCAGGGTTCACTGTCCGTGGGCTCAGGTGGGGGAGCAATGCAGCAAAATGTTAACAAGTTTGGTAGTTTTTACAAATATTTGCAATCTGGGGGATAAGGTAGTGTTTGTTCCCACCTCTTTGCAAATTTCTTGCCATGTGGAAGTTTTCCTAAATAAAACAGTGAGGAGAAAAGGGTGGGCCTCCTTTCTCCTGCCCTCAGCCACCCTGATGGTGGGCCGTGGGGAGGGTAGGACTGGGAGTGGTGCAACAACCTTGGGGGGACTGGGCTGGCTCACAGGCTCAGCATGAGCTCGGAGACCTTTTATGGGACAGTGGCCACACACATGGCTGCCACCCCAAGTCTGCAGACTACCTAGCTGGGGCCAGGGCTGCAAGTTCAAGTTCTGCCCTCTAAGAGAGAGGCTGTGGCCCTTCACAAAAGCATGTGCTAGTGTTTCCCCTGAAAGCCCAGCTTGGAAGACAACCCCCAGGAGCAAATGCTAGGACAGAGGGTGAAGGCTATGCCCCAGTGGTAAGGACAGACCGTAAATGACATGCCTGAGGCTTCTGCCCTTCCTCTGAGAGGCCCAGAGGGCCTCGTGTCTCTACCTTTGACCCTCTGTCCTGGCCCACGGTACCCAGTTGAACCTGAGCTGCCCTGAGCAAGGCTAGAGGAGTGGGGAGTCCCCTGGCCCCTCATTCCCACTGGCCTTTCCCCGACCCTGCACGGGCTGAGCCCCCAGAGGCCCTCAGCTGTCTTGCTGCATGTCTATCTCTCAGGCCCTGGCCACTCATAGGTGGTGGTCCCAGAAGAATCCACTGCACACTCTGGGAGCAAACTGTATCTAAAGACCCCTCCCTGTCTCCAGGGCCTGGCCTGGAGGGGGTGATGGGCGAGCAGGAGGAAGTGGGGAGAGGGTAGGGAAGGGATAGGGAGGGAAAAGATGGGGGAAGAGGGGAGAGAGGAGGGGAGGAAAGGGGGCCCATTATCCCCACCTCTCCACCCCCACCCCCTCAGAGGGTTGCTGCCTGTTGCCCTGCCCTTAGGACCCTCTTGTCTCCTCAAAGACTCCCTAGGGACACACCTGCCCCCCCCACCAACCGAAAGACTCAAGGTGAAGAAAGGAGCTGAGGTCAGTGAAGCCCATGGTTAGGGAAACTATAGTTATGGCTGCAACAGACCAGATGAGTGGAGGACAGGAGCAACCTCAGTCTGTCCTGCCAGGAGGCTGAGCTGCTCCCAGCAGATCTGCCCCTGCCCACAGTGGCCTGGAGGCCTGTTCCCTGGAGGGAGCTCAGCTTGGTACCTGCCCTTGAAGGCCTGTGTTGCCTGGAGACTGGCTCTGAGGTTGCACCCTGCTGTGGTGGAGTTGGGGGGGGGGATAGGGGGATAGGGGGCACACGACACCAGGTAAGTGAGGCTTGGCCTGGAGAGGGGGCCAGCAGAAGGGAAAGCGGCCACCACCATCGGCCACAGAAGCAGGGCCTCCCTGATGCGCCAGGTGGGCATGGAGAAACCATGGTTAGCGTCCAGGGGTTGGGGCGGCAAGCTAGGGCCCACTGCCCTCGTGGTCACCGTTAGTGCACATGGAGCGCCAGGCTGCATACATACCTCACTGGATCACACATAGCCTTTTTGTTTTACTATCATCAGTATCAGGGACAACCTCTGCTTTCAAACAAAGAAATGCACTCAACCACATGCCACATGCGAGTGGCCCAGAGCTTCCAGGGTGTGGGGCCTGGGTGGTGAAGGTGCCACTGGGACTTGCTGCCTGGTTCTCTGGCTCCTAAGCCACAATGCAGCCCACGCCCAGGGCCTGGTGCCAGGCGCCTGCCCCACCATACCCTGCTCTACCACACTCCACAGCAGCCTCTGCCATGGCGCCCACAAGCCAGGAATTAGCAGGCTAGGACAGCAGCCACAGAGGTGGTGGAGACCCCCCAAAACTGCCCTCCTGTGGGCAGAATGCACCTCCTCCCCTGTGGGCTGCACCCTTGGACCACCCTCCTTCCTGGGGGCCCAGTAGGGAAGAGGGGACTGGATGGGCAGTGGGGAAAGGTCAGGGCCCCAGCATGGGATAAATGAGCTCTGACCACATGCCCAGGCACCCCCAGCCCTGGCGATGCCCCGGCTCTCCCTAAATTACCTTCCTGGCTCCTTGTGGGACGCTTCTTTCTTCGCCTGCCTGGCCCCTTTGTGGACCGACCCCAGGCCCTGGGGAGGGTGCCAGACCCTGAGGAATCAGTCACTGCGTCCTCAGAGAAGGACCTGTCCAGGGACGTGTCTAGAGCAGACTCTGGGGCCGTGTCCTCCTCATCTGCGTCCCCACCAAGGCTTGTAGCAGGGAGGCCAGCACTGTGGCCATGGATCCCTGTGTCCTCCAGCCCCTGGCTTGTGCTGTCGGCTGCAGCCTGGTGGATGCTGCCTGAGGATGTCGTGCCCTTGGTGTCATGGCTGGAACCTTGAGCCTTAGGAGGCTGGTCGTTGCTTGAGAACTTGAGGTGCTTCAGGGCTTGAGCATTGCCCAGAGTCACTGGCCAGGCCCCCTCAGAGGTCAGGGGGCACTGTGTGTCCTGAGGAGCTAGGAAATCACTGGCGTCCTCGTACCAGGAAGAACGCCTCTCCAGGGGCCTGGGACTACCCTCCTCTGATGGCTCCTGAGTGGGCTGTGGGCTGGAAGTCATAGCGTCTACAAGGTCCCAACTCTGGGGCTTGCTGGTGGCTGCAGCATCAAGGCCTGGTTGAGAGAGGGAGCAGCAGGTACTGTCCCTGGGGCCTCCTGCAGGGTCTCTGCTGGCTGCTGTGGAGGGAAAGGGGGAGTATGTGTCAGGGGTGGGCAGATGTCAGACCCAGCCACCCCCAGGGGCCTCCCTGCATCTCAACTGTCCCAGGCCCTGCACAGCCCCTGCCTCAGGAGTGTCCCTCAACACCTTCAGACTTCATTGCTGCAAGGGCCTCCATGTCCACAGTCTATCCATAGCATGGGAGAGCCACCCTGTCCAGCAACCCCAAGGAGAAGGCCCTTCCTGCCAAGGCCTTTGTCAGGCCACCTCAGATGCTCTCTGAGCCCTGGCCCCATCTCTTCAGGTGTCTGGGCTGGGTGGGCAGCTATCACACAGGGGGTGCCCTGTATTCCAGCAAAGCAGCTTGGAGGAGTAGACAGAGGGAGGAGGCCCGTGCCTTTGGCCGCCCCATCTCAGGTGTGGGGAGATGAGTGGGGCTTTCACATGAGGTGGGGAGAGCTTCCTGGAGGGAGGTACACTTCAGAACAGTGGGAGGGAACTGAGGTGGGCAATGGTCTCACCAGGCTCTGTGACCCTCAGGGGGTCCGGTGTGGTTGCCTTGTTGCCCCCATCAGTGTCCATGCGGCCGCGGGCTGTCTTCCGAAGCTGGAAGCCCTTCCGAATGTCAGCCAGCAGGGCATCGATGACACACACTTCCTCCTGCTTCCCAGGCCCCTTCCTGCCTGGGGAGCCAAGGAGCCTCAGAAAGGGGCTCAGGGGACCTAGAGACCTGGAGCCCATGGGAGGGCCTGCACCTGCCCCACGCAGCCCCGCCCACGCCTGGCCTCACCCAGCTTTCCGGCCTCGCCCTGCGGCCTGCGTGCCTCTTCTTCAGCCAGCTGCTGCTTCCTCCGCTCTGCCCTGGCCGCCTGGTCCTTCCGCTCCTTGTTCTCCTGTGGACAAGAGCCCCCAGCACTTCCACCATGGGTTCCTCAGGCCACAGCAGGCAGGGCCAAGGGAGACAGGCAGCCCACATAGGTGTGTCCACTGTGCTTCTCTGCTGAGGGAGCTGAGGGGCCCAGGAGCCTGCTCTGGCCTCTGCCCTGCCTGGGCCCCTCACCTTCAGGGCACGGATGAAGAGGTCCCGGAAGGTCTTCATGGTGCTGAATGTGTCTTCCAGGGACAGCTGCTGGGCTTCCTCACATAGGTAGTCGGCCAGCTCCTGCCGCTTCTGCTCAATGGCCTTGAAAAGCTCATCCAGCTCCCGGGAGGCCACGATGCTGGCCTGGGGCACAGGGCATGGCCACATCTCATGAGGTCCCAGTGTGGGGGTCACATGCAGACCCTGTGGGCAGTAGTCCTGCACACCTGGGCACCTCGACCCCCAGGGGCTGCTACCCCACCAGAGCCCTCACTCGGGCTGCCCTCTCCTTGCTGCCCTGGGCTGGTCTGGCTGGTTCTGGGCTCAGGGCCTGATGGACCTGGACAAGTCACCCCGCCTCCCTGGGGTCTGCCTACCAGCCCCTCCTGCCTGCTTGCCTGGAGCTTCTTGGCATACTGCTCCTGCACCTCGGGCACTGAGGCTGACACCTTCTGCTCTGTCTCCAGAAGCTTCTTCAGGTTGGAGCTGGCCTCTGAGCGGATGGTCTCTAGGTTGATCCTGAAAAGGACCAGAGGGCCAGAAAGGGTCAGGTGACCGTGAACAACCAGCCACATGGGGACCTAGGGGCCCATCCCCTCACCTCCTGGCACAGTGGGATCGCCTACCTGCATCCCCAGGGAAAACCCTAGTGCCTCCCTGCACTCTGAGGCTTGCCATGCACTGTGGAGTTCAGTATAGTCCAGTGGAGCATTGGGGGACAGTGACCCTGATGGTCACATGTCCTGCTCGCCTGCCTTCCTCCCCTGCACTGAGGTTCAGAGGCCCCTGGACCAGTGAACCTTCTGGGAGCAGGTGGAGCCTAGGAAAGGCTTATGCTGGAACCAGGGCCCTGGTTGGAGGGGGTTATGTTGTGGTTCCGGTTGCCTGCCTATCCCCACTACATAACCTTGGAGGATGACATGGTTTCCCTGGGACTGTTTCTTCATCTACACAGTGAGGGTGGCAAGGCCTTGTTCATGGGCTGTCACGACAATTAACCTTGTAAAGAGACTGTTAGACCAGCTCCCAGTGTGACCTTGGCCAGGTCAGTCCCTGTCCCAGGCCTGTTTCCTCAGCTAAGTCACATGGGGACAGGCTATGGCAGATGTCCTGTCTCACAGTGAGAGCCAACATTCTGCTGGGCAGCATGCTGTAGCCGTGGCCCCTGGCCTGGAGGTCGGGGCCTGGCTGGGGAGGTGGAGGTGCTGACAAGAGCTGCCTACCCTGCTGCCTGGGAGGGTTGCTCCAGGTCCTGGGGCAGCTGTAGGAGGTCCGGGTAGCTCTTTTCCACTTCCTGCATCAGGACACGTCCAATGAGATCCACTGCGGCCACACTCTGGACCTGGGGGTGCCCCTGTCCCCAACCCCATAGCTCAACCCTTAGCAATTAAGGCCCAGCACTGTGGGCCTCCAAATCTTTCCCTTGGGCCTGGCTATGATTTTGTGCTATTTCTGCTTTTCTTGGGGACTTCCCCACACAAGACCAAGGGCAGCTGTCCTGGGGAGGGATGAGGTTCGTCCAGGTGAGCAGGTGCTGCAGGAGGGAAGGACACAGGGGAGGTGTGGTGGTGCGGTTTGGGCTTTAGGCTGCTGGCTCCGGGGGGTCCTGGGAAGGACAGACCAGCACCCCACCGTGTTGAGCATGTCTGATGGCAGCCGCCCACCTCCAGCACGTGGTGCAGCAGCGTCACGCGGTTCTGCTGGGACTTGGTCTCCGTGAGCTTCAGCAACGTGCTAATCTTGAAGCCATCAGCGTTACCCGTGTGGCTGCCCTGGGAGGAACCGTGTGTCAATCTCCCTGCCTCCCATGTGGGGTAGCAGGAGGCAGGGTAGGCACAGCCCCTGACTCACGTAGTTGAGGAAGTTCCCAATTTTCAGGATCAGTTGGCAGAAGACAGGCAGCTGGTGGCTGGTGAGCAGGCCTGTGGAGAAGTACTAGGCTGGGGAAGTTTTGGTCCAGAGTCCCTAATGCCCCAGATAGGGTGTGGTCCTACTAGCCAGGCTCCTTCGCTCCCTATACTCCCAGGGCCCTTCCCCAGGCTCAGCCCAGCAGGGAGGGACACGAAGTCTGGGCATGAGTGGCTGCAAACCCTCCACAGGGAACAAGTTGTGAGGACAGGGCAGTGGCACTGACCCATAACAAATCCCAGGGGATGGATGACTGCTCCCCTTTGGGCGTGGACGTTTACTGCATGTATGCAACAGCAGTGAGCTGCACCTCATGGTCCAGACCCAGTGTGTCCCTGCCCATGGCCATGGCCAGCCCCTGCTGATTACTTGTTCAGAGAAGCTGGTGTATGAAGGTGTGTACCCATGTCTGTGTGCATACCTGTGTCTGTGTGTCTGTATGTGTGCATTGTGTCTGTGTGTGTGCCTGGGTCTGTGTGTTTACTAGTGTCTGTGTCTGTATACCCGTGTCTACATATCTACTTGTGTCTGAATGCGAACTTGTACTCATGTCTGTGTGTGTGCACCAATGTCTGCATGTGCATGTGTGCCCCCATGTCTCTGTGTGTGCATCTATGTCTGCATATGCATGTGTGCACCTGTAGGTGTGTGTGTATGTACACCCATGTCTCTGTGTGCACCCCTGTCTGAAAGTGCATCTGTGTGTAAACCCATGCCTGCGTGTGCATGTGACTGAGAGTGTGTAGGCATGTGTATCTGTGTGTGCCTCAGGTGGTGGTGATGGTGTTACAGGTGGTCTATGGTGAGGTGTTGAGTGCCCTCCCCACTGCTGGCCCTCGGTCCCATCAGCCCCACTCACTCTTGCAGGCGGCGAGCACTAGTTGGGCCCGGGGCCGCACCGTGTCCAGCACAACAGCTGAGCCCTCGCAGAGCAGCATGCATTCAACCCGCAGCTGGTAGCTGGGGATGGCAGAGCCTGAGGTCAGGGGCCTAGGGCCCCTCAACTGCCTGCATGCAGCATGAGGTCGAGCAGGCACATCTACGGCTGTGGTGGGGAGTGGGGCCTATGCTGCCTCTGGTCAACATGGGCACTTGGGGTTACCCTAGAATAGTGGGCTCCTCCCCTCGGGGGTCCGGTCCCTGTGGTCTTGCTCTTTGAAGGCCAGGGACAGCAGGTGGGGCATGAGCCAGACCATTGTGGTTTCCAGGTAACGGAAGCTCCTCTGTCCAGTATCTCCCCAAGGCCTGGCCCTGAAGTCCAAGGGCTGCCCATGCTCACCAAGGGATGTCCAGCAGGAGGAGGTAGAACTGGTCAGCGTTGGCCAGCCTGGCCCGCTCTTCTGTGAACGCTCGCAGATTTTCAATCTGTGGGAAGGAGACCTGTGTGTAGGATCCTGTCACACACCAGCTTCCCGCCCTCCCTCAGGAGCCCCCCCAGACTGCCTGCTATCTTCACTCATATCCAATATGGCTTTCTGTGGCTCATGGCTGAGTCTGGAACAGAGCTGGCACCCCTCCCCTCTGTGCCCCAGCTGGGAGCCTCTCCAAGACTGCCCCCACCCCATCCCAATCCCCCAGGTTGGCTGCACGAACCCAGAGGTGTTTCCAGCTCACCTCATGCTTCTCTGGAAGGAGCTTGAAGAGCTGTTTGAGAACCTCCACATCAAACTTGGTGGTGTCCCCGGCCTGAATCATGGTGGTAATTTCCTCATTGGAACTAGAGGAGGTGAGAGGTGGGGGCTGCTCAGGAGTGAGGGCATGGCCCAGGGGCATGCTGCCAACTTCCAGGCAGGGAAGGAGTCAGGGTCCAGGTTCTGGCCCTGGTTTGGCTGCTGCTGTCTGCGGCCTTGGAGAAGGTCCCAGATGACCTCTGGCCTCAGTCTTGCCCAGGAGCCTGGACTGGGTTGCAGGGGCAGCCCTAGTCCAGCCCTGGAGTTGGGTGTGCATTTCCCACAGCAGCCTGCAGAGGGCAATGCATCCCAGGGAGCGGTAGGGGCCAGTAGGGGTGGTGGCGGGCCTCTCCATCTCTTACCATTTAAACTGCTTCAGGAAGATGTTGAGGTTCAGGCTCTTCTTGGAGTCAAGGAATGTAATCTGGAAAACACCCCCGCAAGCTTGCTGGTATGTGGATGGGGTGTGGCAGGTGACCCCAGACTAAGTACTTCCCCACCCTGCCCTACCCCACCTCTTTGGGCTCCTTCCTGGCTGGGGCAGAGGCTACAGTGGGCTCCTTGGGCTTGGCCACAGGGAGGGAGAAGAGACGCTCGATGCTGGAGAAGTCCGGCTCCACCGCCTCAGCACTGTGACCGCTAAGCGTGGCCCACATGGAGTTGCGCTCTGCAGGGAGGGAGGTGAGGGCGTAGCCAGTCAGGCTCACACATCCCTGCTGTCCAGCATACAGCAGGCACATAAGTACTGGTGAAGGAAGCCCTAGGGCTGCTGTCAAGCATGTGTGTACATGTGGACACAGATGCATGCGTCCCCACTGGCAGGTTACTTGCCCACTGGCTGGCTACAGCATTCTCTGAGCTGGGCCTTGTGTGCTAAAGGCCTGGGCAGCACAGGCGCTGTGGAGTCGGAGACTGGCAGCAGCCCCAGGAGCGTGGGGAGGGAAGGACCTCAACCTTCTCCCCTGCCCTCATCTCAGACCACGGAGCTGAGCCAAGAGCAGGGCCAAGCTGCCATGACCATGCACACGTAGAGACACGCATGCTACAGGTGTCCCTGCTCCTCCCCTAGCATGACCAGCCCCCGGGGGGCCTGGGGATCCTCACCACGTGCCACATTGGACGGCAGCTTCTGCCAGTTCAGTTTTTTCATGCGTAGCGTGGGTGGGTTGACCCGCCTGTGGCTGGGGACCCAGGCTGAGCCCAGGCTGTGGTCCACCTGGGCCACAATAACCTCCTCCACATTGCCGAAGGCAGGGGGGCCGGGCAGGGGTGGAGGCGGAGGGGGTCCCCAGCCCATTCCAGGCAGTGGGGGTGGAGGTGGACACCCCATGCCTGGCAGTGGTGGAGGTGGTGAGGGCAAGATCTCATGGAAGCCTGGCAGGGGTGGTGGTGGTGGTGGGGATGTGACCCCCACACTTGGAAGAGGGGGTGGAGGTGGGGGTGGTGGTAGGGACATAGCCCCCAGGCTTGGCAGGGGTGGTGGTGGAGGGGGCACTGGAGGGGATGTGGCCTCCAGGCATGGTAAATGGAGAGGGGAAGGAGGAGGCTCTGGCATGGAGCTGGGAAGAGGGGGTGCAGGTGGGGGTGGGGTGGGTGCCTGCTGTTCCAGCGCTTTCAGCTGTGAGGCTGTCCCACCACTCGTGCTCTGGACACTGCCCACGTGCTGGCAGGTATGGGCCACTGCTGGCTGATGGCCCTCCACACTGGCCTTGGGGGCAGTGCTGTTCTCAGGGGAGCTGCCCCTCTGGCTCTGGCCTAGGTTGGCCTGGATACTCTTGTGGGCCTTGTCCAGGGGGCTTGGTCGGGGCCGCCCCTTGACAGACAGGAGCCGCTCAACCACCTCCTCCAGGGTACAGTCTTGGGCTGCAGTGGGGGATATTCAGGGTTAAGGGAGATGGCCAGAGAAGGAAAGGACAGAGACTGGATTGGGAGGCAGACGGGGTGGCCACCTCCCTTGGGTAGAGGTCATATGGGGGGCAAGGATGGGCCCCTCCTCCATGGTCTAAGAGCCCCATCTGCCCACCAGGCCCCCGCACCATCACTGGCCAGGAGCACAGCCCGGTTCACCAGGCTCTCCAAGGCCTCCCAGAGTAGCTGGCTGGAGCGGCGGGTGGGCTCCAGGTACAGGAGGCCCTGCAGCACGGACAGCAGCTGGGCAGATACTGGCGAGCAGCTCACCTGGCAGGTGGGTGAGGGGAGTAGGTCAGCGGCCATCCCCTCCCAGTTGAAGACTGTGTGCCTGTCTGCCAGGGCCATCCACCCCATCACTCCCATGCCTCATGGGAGTCCAGGTGATGAGCCTTAGACGTTTGGGACTGTCCTGAGTATTATGGGATATTAAATGGCGTCCCTGGTCTCCACACTCTTAGTAGCACCCCCAGCTGAGTGCTGATAACCAAAACTGTCTTCAGATGCTACCTGGGGATACAGTCCTCCCAGATGAGAGCCAGCAGTTCTACAGGCACTTGGCTTCCTGGCTCCTTACCCCCTGAAGTCCACCTGATGGTGACTGCCCAGCTCTGGTCAGCCCTGGCCCTCTGGTCCTGGGACTGCCCAACCAGCCCCTAGGCTGTCTGCCACAGCACTGCGTCCCTCCAGCCCCTCACCTTTGCTGCTCCCCAAAGTACAGTACCACCTGGGTCATTGTGGGCTGGGCCAGGGCAGATGGGGGTGGTTTTGAGTCCTGGACCTCAGGCCACAGCCCACTCTGGTGGAGCCACCCTCTGCCCTGAGGCCCACCTTGTGGAATAGGGAGGCGAAGACCTCCTGGTGACTGTTCATGTCAACTCCTCCGGACACACGCAGCAGCTCCTCCTCGTCCTCAGCCTTGGCCTCCTCAAAGGCCTCAAGCTGGATCAGCAGATCGGGGTCCTCCAGGTCTCTGGGGAGGGGACTGGCTGAGCCTGCTGCCCACCCAACTCACCCAACCCTCAGCAGGCAGGGGTAGCCAGACATGGTAGCCTAAGAGAGTGGCAGGCTCACCCCTGCCAGGTTGGTGGGTCACCTGGGCAGCTCTACCCCACACGGAAGGGTGGGCTCCCCAATTTCCACTGCCAGATGTGTACACCCAGGCCTAGGGAGGGGGCCGGGGCTGAAGGCCAAGCTGCTGAGCCCTGGAGAGGGAAGGTATCCCTCTGGGTGCCTCATGGGCTGGTAAAACCACATCTAAGGTGGGTCCACCGTGGCCACCTGGATACAGGGGGGAGCAGGCTACTGAAGGGGCTTGATTGTTCATTGGGCCTTGGACTTGCCAGTCATCTTAGCCTTGCCAACAAGCAGAGCCCTCAGTAGGCAGTGTAGCCGCTGAGGTATGGCACTGGAGGGGCACAAAGCACCCATCTGGCCCAAGGTCAGCTCAGTGCCAGTGGTACGAGCTCTGGGTTCCTTCAGGCTAACTTCTGAGGGGTATGGACCCTGTCCTGAGTGTGGTTCTCACTAAGGCCCAGGCTAGGGTTTCTCAGCTACCTGCGTTCCCAGCAGGGCTATTAGATTTAACAACAAAAAATGACAGGTCATCAATTACATTTGAGTTTCAGAAAAGCAATGAATAATTTTTAGCATAAGTATATCCATGCAATATCTTGAGATATACTAAAACATTATCTGTTGTATGTCTGAAATCTGAAATGGATGGATGTCTTGTATTGTACCTGGCAACCCAAGGTCCCATGGGCAGCTGCCAGGGACAGTGAGCTGAGTTCTAGCCTGTGACCTGGCCTCAGAGCAGAGCCACTGGGGCTACTCTGAGAACTTCCCACTGCCTATCTGGAGGCTTTGGTTGGGGAGGCCCTGGGAACTCAAGGGGCAGGTGAGCCTGGCTGTGGGGAGCGGCAAAGGAGCAGGTGGCAGGGCCGGGCACGATACACACTTACCGTAGCCGGGTCAGGATGTCCAGCAGCTGCAGCCCTGGGAGGGACAGATAGAACTCAGAGGCTTCAGAGGCTGCCACCAGCCACCCATGCCTATTCTGGAGTCACTCGCATCTTACACGTCCCCTCCCTCTGGCTCACTTCTGCCACCTGGGGCACCCAACCCTGCTCTGTTCCTTCCATAGGAGATGCTGGGGACATAAGGCTCCTGAATGGTGACATGCTGGGCAGAGTGGGGCTTGGTCACTGCTGGGATGGGCAGGGCGGGATCTGGGGCTTGAATGGTCTGCTTCCCTCCATTGCCCTAGGACTGTCCAGGATGATGTATAGGTGCTCTGAGTACTGTGTCTACTCAAGTGGCAGCTGGCGGCAGGAGGGTCCCCAGGCCAGAAATGACACCTTCCTCTGGGGCAGGTTTTGTGGCACCCCCACCTCCATTTGGGTTGGGCTGCCCCAGGAGCCCAGGGGAAGGTGTGGGACCCTGGCTGCAGGAACAGGCACCCAGGCAGCCCAGGTAGCAGGGTGTGGTTACCGACAAACTCGCTCCGCAGCTGGGCACGGGTGCGAAGGTCCTCTGGACCCAGGATGATGGCGTTGATCACACTGAGCAGTGTGACGACGTAGGGCACGTTGTCGCTGTCGGAGAGCTCGCTCATGATGACACTAAAGCGGTACTGCTGGCTGCACGTGCTCTGCAGGGACGGTGGGGGTGGGGTCAGGGAGAGCCCAGGAGGGAGGCCCCACCCACCTAGGCAGGTCCCACTGCTCACCTTGTAATGGTCCAGGGCGTCCAAGGTCAGAGCATGACCCTCGGGGGAGTAGATGCAGAGGGCAGCCAGCAGCTCAAACACCTGCTTCTTGACCATCACGTTAGATGTGTCCAGGGCTGCCGAGGGGCAGGTGGGTCTCAGCAGGGCCCATGGTTCACCCTTTCCCTGCTCCTGTGTGGCTGGGCTCAAGACAGATGTCACAGGTGCTCTGCACTTACCCTAAGTCCACATCAGGTGCTGGCCAAGGGGCAGGACCCCGCGGTGCTGCACTCTCCCTGGCACCCAACCCTGCCTCCTGGACCACCGGGAAGGGCTTGAAGCCAGGGATGGCCCTAGGCATTTCAGGATCTGCTGAGGCTGGCTGGTCCCACATTTTCCCCAGTGTTAGCCCTGTCTGTGTTTACAGCAAAGCCTGAGATGCCTCCTTGTCCCGACACGGCCCTACCTCCAACCTCATCTCCCGAGCTGTGAAAGTTTGAGGGACTCTCTCATCTAGCCCTGCTGGGACAATTCATAGAGGGCTCCCTGTGCATCTGGCAGAGACGGGCCTGGCCCCTGTACCTACTCCTGGACCCTGGATCAGACAGAAATGAGGTGGCTTCTGACTTGTTCATTTATGCAGGAACCTGGCACCCCGTGGGTCTGGCTGCACCCATCACTGCCCACCCCAGCTGGTCCTAGTGGGCAAGGGTCTCTCCCAAGGGGTCAGGATTAACTCTGAGACAACTTGGGGAGACTTCCTGGAGGCAGCAGTGAGGTGGCACTTAGAGGATGAGCAAGGCCATGGACACACATGAAGGTCATAGAGCAGCCCAGGCAAGGCCAGCTGCTGGGGAAGCAGCCCCCAGTTCCCAGAGCAGGGGACAGGGTAGGGAGGGGGCACCAGGGGAGGTGCCAGGACATGGAGCAGGATATCTCCGGCAGGTATGAGGCTGGGCTGAGGTCCCGGGCTTGGAGCCAGGCAGAGAGGAAGTGGGAGCCACTCAGGGGATTGTGATTTTGACCAGGTGGCTCCAGCGTGGACATGGGCCTGGGCCAGCACAGGGCTGGGAGGAAGGGTGGGGTGGAATCACAGGACATCCTTATGTGCAGCTGCTACAGATGCAGGGTGGCAGGGAGGTCTTAGATGTGGGGTGTGTGGCGATGCTCCCGGACCCCAGGAAGCCACCCCCACCCCAGTCTAGGCCCTGACTTCTGCAGAACGCCTGAGCTCACCGCGAGAGAGCTGGCGGGCATAGGCTGGGTTGCCCAGGATGTACTCCATGCCCTGTGGTGAGTTCATGACGGCGCGCACGCAGCTGACACAGGTGAGCTGCAGCAGGGCATCAGCAATGCGCGCCACCCCACGGCCTGACAGCCGCGCCAGCGCCTCGAGCAGTAGGTCCAGGCCGCTGTGCTCCAGGAACTGCACCATCCAGCTGCCATCGCTGCTCTCCAGCCGCTTGCGCAGCCCGGAGTAGTTGACCACAGAAGGCACCTGCAGCAGCCGCGCACATAGCTCGGGGTCCGCGCTCTCCAAGTTGGCCTCCGTGGGGTCCGTGTCCTGTGGCCCCAGCTTCTCCTTCAGCGCCGCCCACTTGCGCTGTGCGCCCTCCTTCACCGACATCCTGCCGAACTGCAGGGGAGAAGAGCTGTTGGCCCGGTCCAGCGTGGGTGGAGGCACAGCCCCCAACCTTAGTTTCCCCGTTGTGCTTCCAGCTCAAGCTCATGGCTGGAGCAGATGCGCTCTGCTGACAGGTTGCAGTGGTACTCTATTCCTTGCCCTGATGAGGGCTGCAAAGTTCAATGCCCATCCCTGACTGAAGGGCCACAGCAACCAAGGGAGTCGGCAGCAGGGGTCCCTACTGCATACACAAGGACCCAGAGGTCAGAAGCTGAGGCTTGTGTGAGCCTGGAGGGACCTGGGGAGGCTACGTTGGTTGGAACACCACTGAGCCAGTGGTGATGAAGCCACAAAAAGGGCATCTCTTATCTCACCCCCACAGTGCTTCCCCTGGCCCAGTCGCCAGGGTCAGATGGGGCAATGTGGTGGGGAGAGAGCCCAGACCCAGCACTTCCTGGGCTGCCCACAGTGTCAAGAGTAAGGCTGGAGAGGCAGGGTCTCTTGAGCCCACTGGATGTTGCCACGCACCCAGCTCACCCAGGTGGGGGCAGCGGCCTAACCAGGCCCCGCTCCTCTCTGTGCCTTAGTTTGTCTGTCTGCATGTGGGCGGGGAGACAGACAACCCAGGCCCTGAGCACTTGTAGTTTTACTGGGATTCAGCCCAGGAACCCTCCAGAAGGCTGGGGGAAGGCCTGGCCCAGAAGTCCCCCCCAGCATCTCTTTCCCCAAAGTAGAACAGGAGGGTGGCTGCACCTCTACCATCCTCTCCTCACCCAAGTCCCCGTCCCCAGGCCCAGCTGGCTGAGACACTGTCCCTAGCCATAGTCTCTGGAGACTAGCCTCAAAGGTCAGGGGCATCCCAGGCCCTCCTAAGACCATGTATGGCTCACATCTTATATTTAGCATCTTGAGAATGGCAGTGGGAGGGAGGCCTGAGGGAGGCCTGAGGGGCAGGGCCTGGCAGGGATGTGGCTCCGCTGAGTGTGGACCCAGCCCCAGTATGCTCCTCTTGGAGCTCAACCATCCAGCAGTCCCAAGGCAGCACCCAAAGCATCCAGCCCTGTGCCCTTGCCCCACAGCTAGACATGGCACTGTGGTGTCTGGGCCCCAGCAGGCAGCTCTGGAGCCCGATGTATGCTATACAGCCAGTGCCACTTCACTGCAAGTGCTGTCCAACCTGACCAGCCAGGAGAACACAGGCCAAGGATGCTGAGGTCACATAGGACCCAGTGGGAGAGTAGGGACAAGTTCCCTAGCACTGTGGTCCCAGTGCTCACTATCCTCACCTTGGAGGCCCAGTTGGCCTCTCCACCTTGGGAGTGTCTTGAAGCCTACCCTGCAGCTCCAGGGCCCCTCCCTACTGTTCAGCTGTGTAGAGACCCAGTCTGGTATTTCAGGCAATCCAACCCCACTGGCCCTTCATCCCACCTGTCCAGTGCCCTATGAAGCCAGCAGGGTCCTCCAGGATGCAGCCCGATGGGTGGAGAGACCCCTGACCTTCGTGTGGTTCCAGCAGTCTCTTAGCCAGGTCACTGATGTTGTCAGAGCCTGAGTTTCCTCACCTGAGCATCCAGCATCAGGCTGAGAGCATCCGGGAGGCTCTGGGTGTGGGCTCTCCTCCTTCTGCCCTCCCCCCAGAAGCCGCAGCCTGTGTCCTACGCTGGGCCCTGGAGAGTGGACAGCCCTCACGTTTTAACCCACCGTCCCCAGTCTGGTCCCCTAGGCCACCCCCCACCGTCCACTCACCCAGATGCGCAAGGCCTTCCGGCTGCCTCTGCCTACCCACTCTGGAGCCTGCCTCAGGCTGCTCGCATTTTTCTGGCTTCTCATCACTGCTGATCGTGAGCTGCCTCACGGCCAGCTGCAGCCCTGGTCCCCCCAGACAGCCTCAGGTCCCCAGAGCCCAGTGGGTGGGGGGCCTGCTCCCACCACCATGAAGAGCAGGGCAGACGGCTGTGCGTGCACTCCTGCCCACCCTGGCTGCTGCTGCCTAAAGAGGCACCAGAACTGACCCTCCCTCCCCTGCGTCCATTGGCTGGAGTCCCTGTCCCCTTGGCACAGGCTGAGTAGAAAAAGGCAAACTCTCCCAGGCCAGGCCTCTGGCTTCCAGAGTGTCCTGTCCAGCCAAGAGCCCCAGGGGTCCCTCCATGCACAAACCCTGACCTTTCAGAGGCAAGCAACATGGCCTAGAGCCTCTGGGCACTTGGTTCTTGGACCCCCTGATGCATGGGGGGCTTGCTGACCTGAGCACTGCCCCTCTTGGCAATGCCCTGCCTCCCTCTGCCCTGGGCATGCCCCTAGCCCCAGGGCTGCAGCTCTCCCTGAAAGACTCCAGTCAGCAACCCCCACCCTGTCTGTGGGTGGAGCCACAAGAGGCTCCCACCCACCTGCCCTCACAGGGTCTTATGCCCCGGTGCTGCACTGAGGGTGCAGGGTATGCAGGCTCAGCTGGGCTGGGGTCCCACTAGGAGGCAAGTGTGGCTGGGACCCTGGACACCAAGCCCAGAGCCACTCTCTTCCCCGTGTCCTGGCTGCCTAGTCAGGCCCTGGAAATGCTCCCTTTATTTTTGGGATGAGACACTAAATACCCAAAGAGACGACACAAGGCCACATACAAAGATAGAATGTTGATCACAACCTGCGGTGATCATCCCTGAAGCCAAACAAAACCCCTGTAGCAATCGGCCCAAACAGCTGGACCTGATTAATTCCTGCCTCTGCTTCCAACTTAGGACCAGCCAGAGAAAAGTCAACTGTGTGCCCCAACCCATTTCCTAGGAGCCAGCAGCCCACATTAGGGCATCCCTCGCTTTCTTCTTCTACAAAAAGCTTTCCATGAATACAAGAAAAAAATATATGTATACATGAACACGACACACTATGGAGCTTCCTCACTCCCCTGCCTGTGAGTCTCTGCCAAGAGACTGGGCAAGGCCACCCTCCTGCTGCAGCATCTTCCTGACAGAGTTGCGGGGGGCAGTGTCTGCAGCTCACTGGTCTCAAGAGCACAGGGCTATGGACACCACCAAGGTGGCAGAAGCCTTGCTGTGGGCTTACTAGCTGTGCACCCAGGGGACTCTGGGTGTACTCTGTCTCTCTGTTCTCGTCTGTAAAGGCCACGGTTGCAGGGGGATCTGCAGAGAGTAAACATTCAGGAGTGGCTGTCCCTGCACTTGGTCTTTCCCCATCCAGCTGGGCAGCCCAGGGCCGGGATGTGTCCTCAGACCCCCTCCTGGCTGTAGGGGTGGGAACTTCCAAGGGTCCAAGGAGCACACAGACCCTAATCCTGGCACCCCTGGGGGTGCTGCCTTCTGTGGCTCCATTCCTTTAAGAATGCCTGGGACCTGGGTGTTCTAGGGATGCCAGGCGGGGGAGGGTGCTGGGATGGGAGCAGGCTGGGCATGTGGAACCTGAGGGGGGCTGCACCAGGACAGCATCTTTGGAGTGGCCCTGCCACTGCCAGCACAGGACTGGTGCCTCTAGGCCCAGGGCCAGCAGGCGCAGGGTACAAGGAGGGTGTTTGTCTTTTGGGGGTGGGCGGGCAAAACGGCAGGAGAGGGATTCCGGAACAGGGAGGCAGGGGCTGCCACACTGTATTTTTAGCTCCTCCAGGAGCCTAAATTTTTCCACTGCCTGGCAGCCCTCACATCTCCAGAACAGCACGCGCTCCTGGCAGCTCCTGGGGCAGCCCAGGCCATCCAGCGTCAGAGCTGAGCATGCCTCATCCACATCCACATTGCTCCCTATGCACTTCCAGCCTGCGTCACCTTCCCCCTCAGGCTGTGCCTTACCTGTTGCAGGCTCACCCCAGGGAGGGGGCTGTGTGGTGGGCCTCAGGGAAGGGTTGAGAGTAGGTATCCACTCAAGGCCTTCTGCCCAGAGGCATGGAGCATGTAAGGCCTCAGGGGTGGCTGTGTCCTCACTGTCCCTGGCCTGACTCATGTACAAGGAGCACTCCAGCCCCTATCACCTGTGGTCCTAAGTTCAGACCGGAGTGCAAGGCTCCTGCTCCCCTGCAGTATCTAGCTGTAGGACAGAAGGCCCCTGAGTGGTGGTCATCATGAAACAAATCAGAAAACAAAACGTGGGAAGTAAGCCATGCTGTGTAGGAGTCACCCATGTGCAGAGTGACACGCCACCTGGACACCTGCCCCAGTACCAATAGAAGCTGCATCTGGGATGGGTACTGTTGCTTGTGTGATGAGGAAAAAAAGAACAAAGCAGCTGGAAACAGCATCAGTACTCTGCAGAGTTGGCTCAGAGCACTCAGCTCATCCTGGCAGGATGCACAGCAGGCCCTGGGCTTCCTTCCACACTCTGACAAGTGTCCACAGGGGCTCCTCAAGTGGAGAGGGGCTGGGGGTCCAGGCTGGCCAGTGCTGAGAGCAGGGATGCTTCTGGTCAAGAGAACCAGGACACAGCTTGGCCATGTCCCCAAGGCCCGCGTCCCGGTTGCCTAGTTAGGCCTTGTGAGGCCAGGGCCCCTGGGAGGGGAGGATCATCCCAGCTGACCCCACTTCCGGGTGGGGGGGTGGGAGGAACATAAACTGGGCATTAGGGAGCTCTACAGGGAGAAGGCAAACAGGAAGCGCCTGCTGGGCAGGGAAGTAAGCGTCAGGTCTCTGTGAATGGGCTGGGGTGGGCTGGGGAGGGCAGGAAGGGTGGAGGCACCCCCCGCCAGGAAGCCACTGGGTTTTCACTTCCACCCGTGTGGAGGATGTGCAGGGACCATGGTCATAGGCAGGACCTCTCCAGGGTCCCATCTCCTGGGCTGCACAGACAGCAGGGCTGACGGGGTGTCCCTGAGGTCATATCTGACATTCTGGAGCTCTGGTCTGGAGTTTGGGGACCCAAGGAGAGACACAGGAGAATGACAAGGGCAGCTGCTGTCTTCAGGGAGCCTTCTGAGCACACGGCCTGCCCAGCACCGGCAGTTAGTGATGGGGGTGATGTGTACAGACCTGTGATTAGAGATGGGGAAGACAGAGCCATCTGCTGGCTGAAGGTGGCAGATGGGGCTATGAACTTGGGGTTGGTCTACCATAGGCCACAGTGCCTGACCACGGACGCCACTAGCAGGTGGCTTCCTCTTGCCCTCCACCCTGCCCCAAGCTGGACTTCTGTCTTCAGTAAAAACCTGGCCCCACCAAGGAGGGGAAGTGGCTAGCTGGAGGATTCAGGTCTTGACTGCTTTGCAGATATGGACCTCAGGGCATTCAGCCCCTACTCTGTCCATGCCCAAGACAGGAGGATGGCACAGTGCCCACCCACATGCCAGGCCTAAGGTCCCTGTCCCCAGCCCATGTTCTTGCAGCTGCTTTCCTAGGAGCAAGGAGGACAAAGGCAGATTGAGAATGGGGAGAGGCACAGCCAGTGGCCACTGCCAGGCCCAGCACTGGGTGAGACCAGCCTCTGCCACTGACTGGTCTTCAGGTGACCCCAGGACCTCTTGGTTCCTGTCCTCAAATGGGGATGAGGATGTCAATGCCAACCCTGTAGGCTGCTGACAGATCAAGATGCCATCTGTAATAGGCCCTGTCATGAGCACCCTGCCTGGTGGTGGGATCAAGCTGAGACGGTGCATGAACCCCCTCCCTGCTCAGCCCACAGTCTATTGGGTGATCAGCAGCTTCAGCAAGAGCTCCACACACTGCCTGGCACTCCTGGGATGCAAGGGTACCAGAACCCTGGGAAAGCCAGGGTGACCCTGGCCTCAGTTTTCTTATGGGTAAAATGGCTTGGATGCTCTCTAGGGAAAAGTTGCTCTGACTTCTCCAGGGTCCCCCATCTGGACTTCTGCCTTTGCTGTCCTGTCCACCCCTCTGTCTGCTCCTGTTGGTAGCCCCTCACTCCCCTGTCCCCACATCCATAGCCTAGGGCTCTCTGAGCATGGGGGCAGGGCTGTGGGTATCTGAAAGGGGCTCCTCTTCTCAGGCCACTCACATCTATACATGTGGGAGGCAGAGTCTGGTAGGGCAGGGGCTAGCACCCTGTTGCCCAGTGCCCACCCCTTGCCTGGGCTGAGTGCAGGTGGCTGCTCGAGCTGTACTTGAGGCAGGAACAGAGACCAGACAGGGATGTGGGGGGCAGATGCACAGTAAGGATACACCCTGGAGCTTGAGAGGACCTGGGACAGGCACAGATTGGGGGGGCGGGGGTGGAGGCCCTGGGAATACCAGCCCTCTTCACATAGCCATGTCCACCCCTGCTGGCAAGGGCCAGGACAGCTCAGGCCTAGGAAAGTCTGCCCTACTGTGTGTCCCTCAGGATTATGTGTGTTGGGGGCCACCAGCTGGGCCCGGTGAGGACTTGGGGGAGCTGCAGGGGGATCACCACAGGCCCTCATGTTTAGCTGGGTTGCCTGGGTGCTCCCCTCCCGGGTCAGCCTCAGTGTGAGGTCTCAGCAACACATCTACAAAATGGGAAGCAGGTGCCGGCCTTCACTTCCCACATGTTTTCTGACTGGCCTTTCATCCATTTGGGGCTCACCCAAGGGTCCTGGTCAGCCTGGCCCCTGCAGTGCTGGACACCCACCCTGCTGGGGAGGCCTCTGCCTTCAACACCATGGTAAGGCTGGCTCAGGGCAGCCCTGCAGTTACCTCCCCAACCTCCTCTCATCTGGGACCTGGGGGTGCTCAGCCCAGTGTGGCTCTGGAGAAGGAGGTGGCAGAAAGACCTGTGGCAGATATGAACAGGCCCCGCCCAGCCACCTCTGACACTGCAGTCCCTGCCCAGATCTCTCTGACACTGCAGTCTCTGCCCAGGCCCCTTTGACACCACAGGCCCTGCCCAGGCACCTCTGACACTGCAGTCCTTGCTCAGGACCCTCTGACGATGCAGGCCTCCAGGCCGTACCACACACTCCTGTGGAGGCTCAGGAGAGCCTCCTGGCCCTTCTCATGGATTTTCCCCTCCATCGGCTTACTGCAGCAGCCTGCAGCTGGGAAATGCTGCAGGGGGAAGAGGAAAGCAGCTCTGGCCCTTGCCGTTGGCCATTCTATCCCCAGACAAGGGGCGAGGAGAGGGGCCTCTGCTTTGGTCTTCCCATCAGGCTGCCCACTGCTGTGATAGTAGCTTTAGCTGGTCCTTGGGCAGGTGTCTTCATGGGCTGCTCTGGAGTCACAAGGGCGGGTATCCAGGCTGCGCCTGTGTCTGCCCTCCCCATTCAGATGCCCAGTAAGGGCTACTTGACCAGGATGGTGGTACCAGGCCCTGGGGCCTGCCCACCTGTAAACACCGCAGTGATGATAGGGGTGGGGGGCACAGCCTGGCCTCCAGCTCTCTGGGGCTGGCCTGTCCTCATCCTGACCCCAGATGTGGCCATACTCCAGCCTCTGCTCCACTGGAGGGGTAAAGTGAGCACACAGCAGGGGTTTACAAGTACCTTCTGCAAGAATGGACGACGTGGAGTCTATAGCCCTACTGCTCCGTGCAGCTGTTTGCTCACCTGTGGAAAGGGTGCTGTCTACAGGACTATACCTGCCCGGCAGGGAGAGGCTGCAGCTGGCTCCTCCTGTCCCTGGCTAGCACACTTGCCCAGCACACACACCTCCAGCTTCACAGGGGACACTCTGAACAGCACCCCGAGGTCCTTTTCTAATCAAACCTCAAACCTCAGAAGGGGTTGTGAGAGAGGATAGGCCCAGTCTGCTCTCCCAGCCTGGTGGTCACCATGGAAGTCACCTGGTGCATCACTGGGCATTCAGACTGTCTGGGCAGGCCCCTCCTTCCTAGGTGGGACTGGCAGGGCTGAATGTCTTCCTAACCAAAGGCCATATGTGGGATTCTGCTCACACCTCCAGTGATGGGGAGCACACCCCCTTCATCCACTCCTCCTTCATGCCCTCAGCCTCCTTGTCTTTGGCACTGAGTATCCCCTGGGCCTCACATGACTGTGGCCCCTGGGGGCAGCTCACAGAGACTGGACTCTGTGTGGTCTCTACCTCTCAGCCTAGGCAGTACACCTTCCCTAACAGCATCTTCTGGGCCATAAACTTGCACAATTAGATACCTGCTGTGTGCATAGCCAAAGTAGGGGAGGGGGCCAGGCAGCAGTCAGGCTCTATCCCTTGGGCTATGGGGGACTGACCTCAGGGCACTATAAGAGCCAAGGACTTAGGCTTGCTTCAGGGGATGGTCACTGACCTCAGCAGAGCTGGCCAGCTGGTCTGTGCCTATACCTGCAAGCCGCACCCTATTATTATCCAGAGCTAGTCCCCCTCCTACAGCCTCCACAAACTTGAGAACTTTTCCAACCCAGGAAACAATTGCACTTTGATGGAAGCTGAACAGAGTCTATTTAAAGTAGGAAGCTCCAGGTTGCAGAATATGCCGCATGTGCAGCCAGCGACAGCCATCAGCACCTCCACAGAGGGGGCTGCACCTGGAGGTTAACCCTCCGCTGTTCAGGAGGCAGCCCACCAGGGTGGGTCACAGGTGGCAGCCCCACCTGCCCCTTAGTCCTGTCTTCCCAGGGACACTCCCTTTGCTGCCTGCTGGGGTCTGTGTCAGTCCAGAGCTCTGAACTCTTAGGGAAGGGATGAGAAGGTGGGGTCTAGGCAGTGGTCAGCTCCTGCTTGGTCCCAGCAGAGGTCTCCTACATCAACTGGGCTGTTTAAACAGAAAGCTGCAGCTGACCCTGTGGGGGTGGGCAGCATGGGGGGTCAGACCCTAGACCTGCAGCCAACATGTGCTACATGGGGCCCTCTGCCCTGTGTGGTACCCTGAGGGGTTTGGAGTATTTGCTCTGGGTCCATCCCCATTTCAGGGGAGCAGGGGGTCAAGTTTATCCCCAAGCCACTGTCTTCAATTCTGAGTACAGATGTGGAAATTGAGGCCCAGTGAAGGCAAGTGTCCTGTCCAGGTCCCACTTCTGGGGACCGGGGCATGTGCAAAGGGAACTTCCCAGCTCACGCTCTCATGTAGGTGGGCTGGTGTCCAGTTGGACAGGTGATAACGCTGTGGTCACAACTGAGGCCCAGCACTGTGCAGCCTGGAGCTCTGGGTGGCAGCCAATAGACAGACCCTCTCCCCCACACCTGCTCTAGCCTGCAGCAGCTGGTCATCCTGGCTTTCCTCCTGAGGTTATGGTCACTCCTGGGGTCACTCCCAGCTGGGGCTGAGGGGACAAAGGGACCATCTTACACCCCACGCAGAAAGGGCAGAAAGCTGTGACAGGGGCGTATTCTCTGGAATCTGCCTGTGTTGGTGCCAGGGCGCCGGGTGTGCCCATCTGCGAGTGGGCAGCGAGAAACCACGCAATCAGGGTGGGGCCGCAGACCCGTGCGCCGCTTGGGGTGCAACCCGGCGGCAGACCCGAAGTTGAAGTTTATTTTCCCAACTGTGGCTGATTCACAATAAGGACGTGGCAGCCGCGAGGCGGGGAAATACCGTCTGCCCAGAAGGAGGCTGGTAGACTCTCGGCCTTCTACCCTACCGGCAGTGCACACTTGGGCGGCGTCTCCGCGCAAGAGCCGCAGACCCGGGCGGGGCGCACGGAGCCGGCGGAGCCAGGAGCACCCTGGGGTCCTCGCCCGGGAACTGGAGACCAGGCTGCTCTGCGCTGTGGGACCACTCGCCACTGCCTGGGGCGCACGCGGGGCCACTCAGAGCCCCACTACCCAGCCCCAAGCGCGCCTAGCCTCCTCCCAGACTCAGTTTCCCGCAGGACTCTTGGGCTCAGAGGCCGCGGACTTACCGGGTGGGGATGCAGCCGGAAGGCGGAGGGGTGCCCAGCGCTCGGGTCGGATCCAGGTTAGGGGTTGCGGGCAAACAGCGATCAATGCTGCGCTCAGCGGGGCTCGGACAGGGGCGCGGGGCGGGTTCAGGGCGGGGCGGCACCTCCTCTTCCTCCCGCCCGCCCCGCCCGCTGGGGCCCACGTGGGGAGAGGGCGGGGCGGCGGCGGGGGTGTCGCTAGGGAGGCCCGACTCACTTAGACCCGCTCGCGAGGAACTGCAAATACCTGGGCCGCCCCTTTCCCGGCCTGCTGGCTGGGCTTCTGATGGAGATAGGGGATGGGACCTACAAAGCGGGGGTGGGGTGGGGGAAAGGGCTAGAGAGCTCTGGAAACTGGACCTCAGACCTCGCTGCCGCCCCCTTACCTCCTCTCCACCGTCGGGCATTCCCCAGTTCCGCCCCCACCGGCAGCAACCCACCAGAGCGGCCACTGGGGCAGGTGGGACGCTCAGGGCACGCTCAACTCCCTGTGCCCCAGGGCACATGCTCAATCCAGCCAGGTTCAGAGTTCCCAAATCTGGGCTCCCTTTTGGGAGACTGCTCTTCCTGGTCTTTGGAGAGTGTGGGTCCCCATTGGCCAGGCCAGGAGCTAGCCTCTCTGCAGCCCTCCCCAACAAGGCACTGGTGGTCTTGGAGCAGCCCCTGGAACCTACCTCTTTCCCTAGCAGCATCGGTGTGGTATTGGGATGGGTGTTCTCTGCCATCACTTTTTGTCTTGTGTCATCTGCCCAGCAGTTTAGTAGGTTTCCTATCCTGTCCCTTCCACCCTCCCACACCCCCTCTGGCACTGTCCAGCATGGGGCCCACCCGTAGTGGGCTCTGACCTAGCTGGATGAGAGAGCCAGGTCCACAGCTCTGAATGTGCTTTCTGGTATTTAACCCCCAGAGCTCAAAGGAGGCAGAATTCACCAGGCCTGGGGACTCAGGACCCCCTAGATGCCTTGGTGAAGGGCAGGGGAAGGTAGGCCCCCTGGAGCCCCAGTCTGATGGGAGAGGTGCCACTCCTGTCCTGAAGATCTGCTCCAGCACTGGCTGAGTAACCTCAGTCTGGAACATGGCCCTGTTGAGCCTCAGTTTCCCCATCTGTATATAGAATAAGCACCTGTGAACACAGAGATAGAATTTCTGCACTCATCCTGAGGGCCTACTGTGGGGGTAGGGCTTGTGATAGAGGGGCTCAGGCAGATAGAAGCGCTTGGGATGCAGCCCTTCAGGCCTGGGTGCAGGTGGCTTCCGGCCTTTTAGTACCTTCTGCCCTGGAGCCAGCCACATGTCATGTTAATATGCTCCAAGTGTGGGAATACGCCCCAACGCTTGTTGGCTTGTAAATGGACACTCCCTGTATGCGCAGACCCTGCCCAGGCCCAGTAATCTCCGCTGAAAGTGCCCTTGGCTCAGCCCCAGGGCAGGAGTGCTTCTGGCAGCAATGCTGAATGAGGGCCCCTGAGTGCCAGGCTTGCCCAGGGGAGCCAGCCAAGGCCGGAGCTTACAGGCTTCTGGACATCCTCCAGCCTGGGACACAGTGGATGCTCCTAGACAGGGACTCAGCAATTCTTGGAATACACCTAGAGAGTGGCCAGCCCTCCATACTCAGCTCCTGCCCCTCTCCTCAACTCTCAGAGCGGGAAGACTCCCTGCCTTCCCAGAGCTGGGTTCCTGCCACAGTAATGTCCGGCACCCTAGCAATTGGTGCCTGTGCTTGCTGCATCTGGGGTGGGGGTGGGGCACAGGCCAGCTGAGTCATCTCTGTCTGGGGCTGGCGCCTGGCTGTAGGCAGTGGGTGTTTGTTGATCCAGGGATAGAGGAATGTAGGATGGTGGGGTGAGAGCTTCAGCCCGGGGCTGGGGAGGATGTTCTACTGGGAAAGCTGAGTTGGCCGAGGCCTCCAGGGCGACCTCCCCACCTCCCCCACCTACCCCCCCCCCCAGAGTCCTGAGCCTCACCCAGAGACTGGACAGCTGGCTCTGCTGCAGCACACACAGTTATGAGGACCCTGCCCTGACCTGGAGGGCACGGTACCCTCAGGGCTGGTCTTGCCTAGGGCTTTCTTGTGCCAAAGTCGGGCACTGTGGTGCATCCCAGGGCTCCACAGGCGGGAGCATGGTGAGGAAGGTGGGGGAATTGAGTCAGCAGCAGAAAGCTGGAGAGATCCTGGGGGCGGCAGGGAGCATGGAGGAGGCTTTGGGCCCCAGTTAGGGAGCACTCGTGAGCATGCTTGTGTGCATGTGGCTGTGTGCAGTGGCCAGCTGAGGCCAGAGACCTGGCAGGGGGAATATGGATACGGGTCTGGAGGGTGCTTTCCCTCAAATTGCACCCACTGTGTCCAAGACAGCAGGGTCACAGCTTCGTGGGGTTCAACTCCCAGTATCCATTGATTGCCCAAGGTACACAAGGCCCCTCCCTAGTTCTTTTCATGGCATCACTGCTCCCTCTGCTCCGACAGACTCCCAGACGGGGCCCTAGCTCGTTCTAAGATTCCTGTCCCTGAAGTGGGGAGGAGGACTTGCCTCCTGAAGCCTCTGCCCAGCACGTGGGGCCCATCCGCTTGGAGGAGGTTCTTTCAGGAAGCTTCAGCCTGCCTGCCAGCTGTGCTCCTGGGAGCTGGAAGCACACGTGCCTGCCCACAGCTCTGGATGCCCAGGCCCCAAGAATGAGGATGCGCAGTGGCCTCCAACAGGCAGAGAGCACACGCCCCCATGCCGACACACTTGGCCCTAGTGAAGGTGGCCCTGCCTGGGAAGTAGAAACAGAGGTAGGGTGAGGGATGGGAATAGGCCTGGTACTGCCAGCTTGAGTTTCACTGGGAACAGGCAGGCAGGCGTGGGCATCTCCAGCTGAGAATCCTCCCGCCTGAAGGGATGTGGTGCAGAACCAGGACAGCCCTGAGTGTAGCCAGTAGATCTTCCAAGGGCACGGCAGCAGGCCAGCCTTGGGTTTCACTTCCGTTCGGGTCAGACCCAGAATACTTTTTGTCTTTTTCCTTTTTCTTTTGCATCCTGATCGGATGCCCTGAGACATCCTCTGGTGCTGTTGAGGAATGAAGCAAATGAAAAGATGCCCACCTGCCCACTCATCTACCTGCTTTCCACCCATCTACTCATCCACGTACCTGCCCACCGTCTGTCCTTTCACCCACCTACCTGCCCATCCACTCACCCCATCCATTCACTGCCCAGCTATTCACCGTGAATCCAGCCAGCCAGCTATCCGTGTACCCACCCACCCATCATCCACTGTCATCCATCCATCCACTTACCCATCCATCAACCTCCCCCATCTATCCATCCTTCCACCACCACCCACCCACCCTCCCACACATACATCCAGCTGTGGCACCTCAGGCAGCTCATCATTTCTGACTCTGCCAGGCAGGCAGGGTGTAGTGGGGTGGCAGCTGCAGGCTCTGCTTGGCCACCTCCCCCAGCACCCATGCCTCTCCCTCAGGCCCTTTGCTCTGTGGCCTGGCAGCTTCAGCAGCTGTGTCCTCTGCATCCCCCATGGTGGACTCTTAGGGTTTCCCAGATTCTCTTGTGTTTTTCAATTCCAGCTCTAGAGAGCACCTGAGTGCCAGCCTGTCTGTGAGGGAGTAGGCATCGGTTAGGCCCATCACGGGTCTGAGGTGGGAGGGCAGGAGCTGGGACCAGGCTGTTGCTCTTCAAAGGGACAGTGGGCAGGATGGTCAGTCAAGGGCAGGCGTCCTCAAACTACGGCCTGCGGGCCACATGCAGCCCGCCTAGGACATTTATCCGGGCCACTGGGTGTTTTTGCCCTGCTGCCTGTCCTGCTTAGCAGCCGACTCATCCCGGGGCCCACAGTCCGGTCCTCCAATGGTCTGAGGGACAGTGAACTGGCCCCCTGTTTAAAAAGTTTGAGGACCCCTGGTCAAGGGCATGGATCAGGTAGGAACCTCTGTGCCCTTCATCAGAGGCTCTTCATAGAACCCCTGTGCTCTCTCTTTCTTTCTCTCAGACAGTCAAGGGCATAAATCAGGTAGGAACCTCTATGCTCTTCATGAGAGCCTCTCTCTCTTTCTCTCACACATGCACACACACATACGCAATAGAATCTTGTTATTTGCAGGTTCCATATTTGTAAATTTGCCAATGTACTGAAGTTTCTTTGTAAACCTACAATCAACACTGCTTTCGGGGTCATTCTCAGCCTTGAGCAGAAAGGTGAGGAATTTGAGTCTCCTGATGTGTGTGTCCCCAGCTGAGGGAGGCAAGTGAGGCTCTACCATCTTGTCTCTGCTCATGCTGCAAGCAAGTGTCCTTTTCTGGCTCTATTTGTGCCATGTTTTTTGCAGTTTTTGTCTTTTGAGTGATTTTTCTTTTAAAATGGCCCCAGGCAGGGTGCTATAGTGTTGTCCAGGGTTCCTAAGCACAGCCGGGGCTGTCCAGGAAATCTGTGTGTCACCACAGGCTTTGTTCAGGCGTGAGTTATGGTGCTGCAGCCCGAGAGTCCAGCATTAGTGAGTGTTACTCACTAAAATGTCTTTAAACAGAAACACACACAAACCAACATCATTAAGTATTAATTGGCTGCTGAAACTGTTGTAACCAGAAGCTTGCAGGAACCTGACCTTGTGTCTCCCTTAGGAGCGTGGTCAGTATTCACTAGTCCAGTGATTGCAGCAACACGATAGCACATAACTACCGTGAACAAGAACCTCTGTGGCTTTTTGTTCAGACATAGGCACCTCACAGAAGGATATTATACCAACTTGTGCCTGACACCCTATCTTTTGAGAAATGTGTCCTGTGGCTCAAAGAAAGATTACAAGTACAGCATGTCTGAGTACTAGAGAATGAGTAGTATCTGTTGGGGTCTGACAGCAATGGATCGCAGGGACAGCTTCATGGCATGAGCAGAGAAGACGTTCTGGCATTTGTGAAGTCATGCCATCATGCGCGTGGTGATGTGACTGCTAGTATTGGACATGGCCCTCATCATCCATGCTCTTCGTGCTGCCCAGAGTCTGACTCTGTGTGACAGTATCAATGTCAGGAAGCAGCCAAAACTGTGGAATGTGTTC